ATATATATATATATATATATATGAAAATTTGGTCCTTTCGTTAAATTGACATCTATTAATTTTTATGTTTTAACATTTATTCATATTTAAATAATGTGACATTTAGTAATATGATACTTAGAGATAAAAAATCATAAAAATATTTTTTTTAAACCCTAAACATGTAATATTACTAATATGATTTTACATTTATTCATATTTAAGTAACGTGACATCTAGTAATATGATATTTAGAGAAAAAAAATGGAAAGATTTTTTTTGTATGTTATTTATTTTTTTTATTTTTTTTTATCTTTACATGTCATACCACTAATATCATGTCACTTAAGTGATAACATGTCATTTAACAACATCAAAATTAAAAGATCAACAAACATCAAATTGATGATAGGATCAAAATTTCATGCATATATTTTAAATGAGAAGAATTAACTGTCTCTAATTTAAAATAAAGAATTTATTAATAAAATAAATATTAGTCACTTCTTAAAATATATACAAACAAAACAAATACTAATCTATGGGACATTAGTTTATTTTTTTTCTTTAAATTCAAAATAAAAATGACATTAGAATGAATATTATAATTAAATTTCATAAAAATAGTATTAATTATAAAAAAAATATTTTGATGAATGACAATGATAAAAACACACAATATTTAAAGATTAATATATTTTGTTCTCATTAATTTTTTTTATTTTATGCATATATTAAATAATTTTATTTTCTTATACTCATAGTATATTTTTAAAAAAAATTAAAATATAAAATCAAATTGAATTTTTTACATCAATTCCAATAGCGATCAGCGCACACAGGTAGATATTCTCCTTCTAACATAGTCTATTTTATATAGATGATATTCTCCTAAATATTTTGATTAAGAGACACAAGTCGCTAACATTTGTGTTAACTAATGTTGATTAGTAAACATTAATTTGATATTAGTAGTACCGACTTATTTTCTAAATTGAAAATATTAAAAGAAACACTAACAAAAGAAATTAATGTCTTATTAAAAATATTAAACTATATTAAAAAAATTTACATCCATGTAATGTTTATGGAATAATTTAAATTATTTGCAATTATTGTCACTACAAAATAATTTTCTTAAAATTAATTTTTTATATTCAATTCATATAAATTATATATTTTATGAGATAATGATTAAAATAAAGTATTACTAAGTACGTTTTTCAAAAATATTTGATTATTAAAATTTAATTAAAAAATTTCAATTCAAAAAGTTAAAATAAGTAAATAGATACAATTAAATATATGAAAACATGACTCAAATTTGTCTAAGGCCTCAAATTTTCTTAACATGGCTTTGGAGGTTGATTGGATTCAGTGATAACCAATAACACATAATCCATGCATACAAATAATAACAAAAATACAACACAAAGACAAATTCCACTAAATGAGAGGTTAAATCATTTGTTTGAGGGGAGACTTGTTGAGATAAAAAAAAGATTTCAAGTCATTAGAACAAGAAGAGAAATAAAATTTTATAAAACACACAAATAATATATTAATTAGAGATCTTTTAGGTAATGATCAAAAGTAAAATCATGAGAGTGTAAGTTAAAAGTAAACAATATCTTATCATTGTAAAGATGTATATGTAAATAACAGATAAAAAAACAACTACAAAGATATAAACCCTCCTAAGAAAAAAAAAATCCCATAAACAAATACCAAAACCATTAGCCCAATAACTATGTAGCCACATTTTTTTTAATTAGTGAGAAAACTGAAAAAAGGGAGGCAAAACAAATAACTAGTTGCCTCTTGAGAAGAAGTTTTTTGCAAAATCATCATAAGTAAATAAAAATAAATTAAGGGAACCCGTAAGCCAAATTATTAAACTATCAGCCAATGAGGTACCTTCCTTAACTATCCAATCAACAAATCTATTTTCTTCTCTAAAAGTAGACATAATGTTAATTTTGTGTATGATCATTGTATTAGTATAAGTTAAAGACATACTATGTAGCCACATTTGCATATACATGTATCATGCACAAATCTAATATTTATTTTTCATGTTTTTTTTTGCCTAGAACCAATCAAAATGAAAAGTTTATTATTTTTAAACATTTGGAATTGTTTAAAACCACATTTAGAAATGTCAAGAGTTCGTTTTAATCCAATACTATGCTGGTCCATTAATGATAAAAACCTAAAGCAAAATTTTTAAAAAAACTTTTATACTTGAAATAAAAGAGCTATATGTTGTCCATTTTAACAAAATATATATATATATATATATATATATATATATATGACTTTTTTACTTTACAAAACTTAATAGAAAATACTTGAAAATAATTTGTTATGAGTGGTCTTATTCTAGGAACGACTTTGTTTTATACTTTCACTTTTTGGATAAATACTTAAATATGAATTTGATATGAGTATTTATAATTAGAAGTAATGTGATTAATATTTAATGAAGACCATGAACATATATAAGGTAAAATTTTCTTTTAGTTTATTCATTTCCATGCTGAAATTTAGGATTTGAATCTTAAATAACTTGATTAATTAAGAGATATAAATTACTATAATTTGTGCTAACTTGCATTGATTTTCGTTACCTTCACTTTGTCATAAAATAATGTAAAATAATTCTCCATGCATATCATAAGGCTATGATCTCATTATTCACTCGGAACTTACCCTATTTAACTAGAGTAAGACAATCTAAAGCAAAACCAGAGCTTTACTTTATCTATAGATAGTTTAAGAATTCTTCTAGTTTTGTTGTCTAACACACAAACCAAACCACTTTGGTAAAGGCAAAACCTATGAAAGCTTAGCACCTTGATTCCATTTTGCTCTGAATACAAATGATGATATGCTATTGTCTCCAAGTTTATAGCCAAGAGTCCAACAACAGTGTCACCTAACACATTTTCAAATCATGAAGCGTGATAACCAAAAGCTGCACATCAAGAAGTAATTAATTGTGATACCTGCGGAGAGTGGTGCTAGAGGTTACATCTATATATGGTTAACTGTTTGAGGTAATTCCGTAAAACATGTCCAAATCCAAACAATCAAAGGCAAAATGTAAAGAGTCTTACAATTCTAGAGCAATATAACCAAAAGCTGCACATTTTCCAATTAACATGTTATTATGTTATGCGTGAAACACCCTTCAAAATTCGGTCTCCTAAGGGCATCATTATGTATATATTCATACATGTTACAAATTGAGGACCACTGAATCATGATCCATATAGTACAATATCAATTATCAAACATGTTTTTGATATAAGCCACTTCACGACTAAGACAACAAAGTAAAGAGGAAAAAGAGAGAGGGATGAAAACATTTTAGGAAAGAGAGACCATAAATTAGACAAGAAAAAAAACTTAAGTACTCTAAAATCTCAAAAGACAGAGAGATGCATAATATCTCTTAACACATTACTGTTTTACCATTAGTGAAATCAACTTTTATTGTTAAGTTGTAACACCTAGTTTGACACAGCCTACTTCCTTTAATCTTCATTGAACCAAATAAAATCATTTAGGTCGATGGCAAGGCAACGACACACACAATTTCACAAATCTTGAGAAGAATGCACTACAATTTACTTCAAAATGCAGAAATCGTGTTGACACTCATCTAAACAATCAAGAACCAACACTAATAATGAAGAAATAAGAAAATGAAAATTACCTGAAAACAAAAATTTTGTTCAAAATAAATATCTCACACTACAAGCCACAAATCACCAGTTTAAGTTGACAAAGCATTAAATTATTGAGAATACGTATAAATTATTATATTTAATGAAAAAAAAGAGAAATATTGCTATATTCAACTTATAATTTTATTTTGTATATTTTTAGATTTTTTTTCCTGCGTACAATAATGAAAATAAAAATACAACCTACGACTTATGTAAATTATGTAAACCTCTCTCTCACTAGACTGAACTTAGTTGGTTTCACATATTTTTAGAATACCACTCTAAGTTAATTAAAATATAATTATGTAACCTAAAAATGGAAAAATGTATCATCAAATTAATTTTACAATAACATTTGAACCTTAAAAATATTAGTTTCATATATTTATGGTAATTTTTAGAGAACAAAAGTAAGAGAAGAAGATAAAATAATACAAGGAAAAAAATATGAGTATTAAAAAATTAAAACAACTTAGAAATATTTTGATTTTTGTAATTTTAAAACTCAACTAAATATTGTTTTTTTAAAACTGTTCCCAAAAGTTATTCATACCTAACAAAATTTTTATTTTAAAAACTAGAAAACAATATTATTATTTTTTTCTCTAAAATTTTCAGTTCTTGTTTATGCTTTTTGAATTGAGACAATCTTACTTTTCCCACTCATTGTCCGTAGGAGAAATTAGAGCATTATTAATTTATTTATTACATTTAAGAGAGATATTTTCTATTTACCAAATTGCCCTTCTTCCTAACAATAATAATTCATAATTCCTTATTTGCACCTTCTCATCGCAGATCTTCCAAATTTCAAAGCGCAGGCAAACTTCTTCTCTCAGACATGGCATCTCAAGTAAGCCTCTTTCTCTGTCTGCAAAATTTTCGTGTCAAATATATTAATTTTATGTGCACTCAAATCACAATGTAATAGGCTTAGCTAATAGGATAAGTTCATCAAGAACTATGAAATGGACGATATTTTGATCTTCTTTGCTGTCGCAATGGATCCGTAGGCACGTGAGCCTATTCCCGTAAATCTAAGAATTGGGTTTCCAAAAAGTTCTTATTTTGATACTGTTTTTTTTGGATCATCAACTGATCTGGAGTTTGAGTGTTTAAATACATGTGAATGGATGTTTCAATTTGAGATGTATGTCTTAGCTCGTTTCAGATCTGGTTGGAAAACCTGTACTCTTGACTGTTTATTTTTTAAGCTAATGAACTTTTCGACCTGAATGTTTGAATTCGTTGCTGGGTTTTCATCAAATTTTAAAAACATGGTACCTGCTCCTGGGAGAATTGATGATAATTGAGGGAAAGGGTTTTATTGTTGTTTTCATGTACACTAAAGTCTGATGATTAGTGAGTGTGCTGGATAATATATTTGAACTTTATGAAGTGAACACTATAATTGAAAATCTGTTATTTGACTTGGGGTATTTTACATGTGTTTTCGAATGTTAAGTGCCATAATCTGCAGTTTTGCTGACAATGAACTTGGTGGGAAGTGGGAACTAATAAACAAAAAATGTTGATTGCTAATGATGTGTTGCACGCACTCTGCTTGTATTTGCTTTTATGGGGGAGAAGCGTCTGAATTCTGATTTTTGTGCAAGGTATTCGTGATAAATACGGTGCTCCTTCAATGACTTGCTTCTATATTGTTACATTTGTAGGGTTTGTGTCCTTCAATAAAAAATATTCTTCTTTTGGACTCTGAGGGGAAGCGTGTGGCAGTCAAGTATTACTCAGATGACTGGCCAACAAACAATGCAAAGTTAGCTTTTGAGAAGTTTGTGTTTAGTAAGACTGTTAAGTCAAATGCTCGTACAGAAGGTAAGCAGTAGAGTTTCACAACCATCCAATATTCATCCATAAAGTCACTTTGTTTTGTATTAGGTGTTAGGTGTGGCAATATCAATCTAACCGTGATTCTTGATATTTTTGCTTATTGATTAGTCAATTTTGCATCTTGGTTTGATTTTTAAAAACTAATGTTTGTGAATGCCTAGAATTTTATTTACTTTCTCCACAGAGCTAATTTTGTAACTTTGTTAAAATATAAGTCGTAATGTTAGACCTTGGACTAATAATAAATTGAAGTGTTTCCATGACCTTTCTATATCATGGATTAAAGTGGATGTTGTATCTCACATGGTCATACCAGTTGGTGTTTCACATCAGTATACAAAAATTTCATGGAATTCTTTTGGGACAATATTCCTGTCTGCTGCACACCATGATCAGAAATAGATTTGGCCATTCATTTCTTCAATTGTGAATACCTCTCTGACAATGTCTGAAATTTCAAGTGCTCATGTATAAAATTTTGACATCCATTGTTTTGTTACATCAGGCAAAAGAATAATGCTTTTTAAAAAAAGCCTTGTGTTTTGAATGTATCAAAATTTTCACGCAGACCAGCCGTACTACTGTATATAATACTACCTCCATTCCTATATATAAGAAACAAATTAGAGTCTTATTTTTGTTCTAATTATAAGAAACAAATGTCTACTTTTAGATGTATTAATTGGTAATTTTCTTTTATGCCCTTGATTCATTGTGAATCTATTAATGAGTTATCTACTCATCTTCCACGAAATTAATGCATTTATTGGGCAACTAACACTATAAGTCGTATTATGAAAATACTATGAGTTATCATTTACACCATTTAATTCTATGGGTGTTTTTGGAATAAAATTTCAAATTATGACATTAATAATTGCAACTAACTAATTTAACTACTTTTGTTGATTTTGATGAATTAGGTATTTGTTTCTTTTATATAAGAATGGAGGTAGTAGTATTTTGGTTTGTCCCTGTGATTTATATTTGTTGATGAACAATAGGATTGAAAAGTTGATTAGCCTATCACTAGTGGTGGTAAGTGATATATAACAGTAGTCTACTGTACTGAACTCAAACATATAATGGGAAAATCCCTAACGACCCTAGGCGTCATTGGTCTTTCTTTTGTTTTCCTTTCTGACAATCAACATGAAACCAATAATTCAATGAAAGCACCTCTCGACATACCATTCAATTGATAGTATCTGTTATAATTGAAGAAAAGGGCAAACTTCCGTCAATATTTATAATGTTTATCATGTTTCTTCTGAAAATCATACATTGTGTCCAATTATCTGCAGCTGAGGTAACACTACTTGAGAACAATATCATCATCTACAAATTTGTACAAGACCTGCATTTCTTTGTCACTGGTGGTGATGATGAAAATGAGCTCATTTTAGCATCAGTTCTTCAAGGTTTCTTTGATGCAGTCACACTTCTGTTAAGGTATGTTTGATCCTAAAATTACTTAAGGACTTAAAACCTGATGCGCCTTTACTGATCATGCTGACTGTGTTTATTCCTGTGTGCCTTTCACAGGAGCAATGTTGACAAAAGAGAGGCACTTGAGAACTTGGATCTCATTCTCTTATGTCTTGACGAGATTGTTGACGGAGGGTATGCATATATTTCTTGGCCACAACTTTTCTTTCCAAGAATTGTTTAATTTACTCTTTTTAAAAGTTTATTTATTTTTTCTTGAAGAATGATACTTGAAACAAATGGACCTCTTATTGCTGAAAAAGTTACCTCTCATAGCTTGGATGCTGATGCCCCCTTGTCAGAGCAGGTAATGCAACTCTGTCTTGGCTTAGTTTCTGTTAGTAACGTGTGCTTTCTATTGGATTTTACAACGCAAATGCACAAAATCTGCCATATAGAATAACATTGGCACGTTATTTGATCTTCATTCTGATAGTCACTTTCTGATATTGCAGACGCTTACTCAAGCTTGGGCTACAGCCAGAGAACATTTGACAAGAACCCTTTTAAAATGATGTTTGCATACACTGAAAATGAGCTACTTATAGTTGAATAGCCAAATTTTTGTATGTTAATGAGAGTTGTTTCATCCCCTATTTTGGGAGTTATTCTTATGAGCACCATATACTTTTTCCCCCGAGTGTGTTCCTCCTGCATCTTAGCTATTATTTGTCAAATTCAGGGAAGAAGTTATTGTTGTGATTATGTGATATTCAAGTTAAGGTTGAGAACTGGTTCACAGGATTTACTGTTTTAAGTGTGTACAATCCAGTATCGAGGTATTCTTGCATCAATAGGCATATACACATCTATATGAAGTCACATTGTACTTTACACATAATATTAATTAATCCACGTAATATTGTTTTATGAATGTATTTTACTTTCAACATAGTCTCTTTCATATTTAAGGTCAAAATTTGAATTTTTGACAATATAATTAAGAAATATAAGTTGTTATTAGTTATATCAACTAATATTGGTTTAAATTTATTTTTTTTTTAAAAGTTTAATCAATTCATTTTTTTTCCCACTCTTCTTTGCTCTGTTATACTGTTTCAAAACTTCAATTCTCATTTACTTTTTCTGTAACTTTCCTTTGTCCCATTTTCCCATTTTAAAACTCTAATATCTATTTTTCCGGTCACTTCTCTGTGTTGCACTCATTTTTTTTCTTCAACCTTTTCCATTTCACATTTCCATGTTGAATCGCAACTTCATTTTTTTCGGCTATTCTCCTCTACCCCCCACCATCCATCCTAAAACTATAACCATCTATGTTTTCAACCATCTTCCCCGACCCACTCATCTCAATCCCAACTCATTTTTCTTTGGTTCGCCTTCCTCCACTTCACTCTTATCTCAAAATTTGACTCTTTTTTCCGCCAACCTCATCTAATCCTATTTTCCCATCTCAAAATATTTAATGGTAATGATTTTAGTTATAATATACATTATATTTATAATATTTATTTATTTATAATAAATTTTAATTATATGAAAATAAGTATTTATCCTATAAAAACATAAAGTACCTGTTTGGCTAAAGAGTTGTTTTTAATAGAGAAACATTCAAAATTACTTATAAATTTAAAAGTTAATCAAATTGGCCTATAAAAGGATTTGCAGCATGGAGGCAAAAATGGCTTTGTAGATTTTAACTAGAGTAATACATTTTTCAAAGTAGTGTAATCTTTAAAAATTTATGACTAATCTTTTGTTATGTAAATAATTTGCAAAATATTTTAACAGGAGTTTTTAATGATATCTTTTTACCATCACTAATATTTATTTATCTCCGATTATTACATTTTAGCATGAATAAGTTGATACTCGATTGATATTTTATTCTTTGTAATATTATAGCAAATCAATGATGGATGTGGAAATTTTAAGTAGTGAGGACATACTTATATATATATATATAAAATTATATTATTATTAAAATTCCTAATAAATAAATATATTTAAATACATATGAACTAAAATTTAAATTTATAATGAGCAAGTTGAATTGTAATGTAAAATTATTTTTATTATTCATAATTTAAAAATTTATTGATAAAAGTGGTATGTATATACAATTAGAAAAATTCAAGCTTATATATAGAAATAAAGAAAAAATGTAGTGTGAAATGAATACTTAAGATTGGTTTTTAAGTAAATGCAGGGATAGTGCATGAACTACAATTATAAACTAGAATAAAATTTATTTTTGAGTCTCTATATATTTATTTTAAAAATAAAATAAATAATAAATATACCAAAATAGTGGAGAAGAGAAAATAATTAAATATTATATTTGTATACTACTAAAGGTAAAATGGTTCAATAAAAAAATATTTAATATGGAATAAGATAAAAGGGAAAAAAGTATTTAACACATCTAATTAAAAAAGTGAAGAGAATAAAACTAAGTAAATTTGTGGCTGAATACTTTTATTATAAGTTTTTTTTCACCATATTTCAAATTATAAAAATAATATATAATTATATCATATATTATTTTAAGTAAATTTATAAGTTAATGGGGGTAATCGCCTCCACACTTCAATATGAATCCGTCACTTTAATAAATTACTTGTCCCATGCGAGAAATTTTAAATAATATGTTACTAGTACTGACATCATAAAGTTTTGAATTTAAATTACGTTGATAGAAAAATGTAGTTAAAATTAAAATTTTATTAAAAATAATGACAATTTTGTTTTTATTAAATCGACAACATTATAAACATTTCATGTGAATAATTTGATATGGTCATAAAAGAATTTTTTGAGGGACGAAAGCAAGGAGAATGAATATATACACCTCATTTTTACACTCCATATCCATGTAGAGTAGGTGGTTAACTATCCGTAAAAATATGGTTAATTTTTTTTTTGTAAAATCAAATGAATTAAATTATATAAATCATTTGTAAATGATTAATCATGTTATAAGATTATTAAAATGTGAAATAGTGATTAACTTTAATTCACAAATGGTTAATAGTGATATGACCTTATTGACTATCACTCTTGATTAACCATATATGTAAAATTAGTTAATTTTTTCATTAAAACATGTATTTTTTTTTATTATTGAAGGTGATTTTAAATTAATAATCAAACACACATTTATTCAAAAATCACTGGGGTTAGCATAGTGGTTAGGTGAGGAGGACCTGGAGTAGATAGAAACATGAGGACCTAGGTTCAATCTCATCGCAACTATCTTTGTAATCTTTCATTTCTTTAAAAAAAAAAAACTCATTTATTCATTTATTTTACACCTTCAAAGTCCAAACATACATTCATAACTTGAGAAAAGTAGGAAGAAAAATGATAATTAAAGGATAAAGAATTGGGCTTTTTGACCTCAGTAAATTAAAAAAAATTAAAAATACATGAAATAAATTAAAAAAAAAACTAATTACTGAAATAGGTAGTTTTGGACAAGTCAGCACACACGTGGCACTGAAAACGCCTGGGGGGTGGGCGTTTTTTTAGAAAAAGCCTCCCCCCAGGCGCATTCTATTGCTGATGTGGCACAGGCAGATTTGAACTGAAAACGCCCCCCCAGGCGTTTTGTTGACGTGTCAGATTTGAACTGAAAACGCCTTCCCCCCAGGCGCCTTCTATTTTTAGAAAGAGCCTCCCCCCAGGCGCTTTCTATATATGGCAAATTTGAAAAGAAAGAATCTGTGGGGTAGGCGTTTTCAAAGCCACCTCTTCCTGAGAAACGTAGTTAATTAAATTTTCTTTAAAATAAATATTTATGTTTAATAAGACTTTTCTAAAATATATTTTTCAATGATAGTGTTTTAGAAAATTTCTTTTCAAAAATAATACTTTATCTTTTTCTTTTTTATTTCAAAATTAAATTTCAATATTTTATTAAAAAATTGTTAATTGTATAAAAATATAATTATTTATTACAAATTAAAATATTTTATTTGTTTAAAATCATTTATTTATTATAAATTTTAATTATAATATAATTTATATAATACAAAATATTTATTTACTGATATTTTAGTTATATAAAATGAAGATTTATCTTATACACATCACGTATGAGAATAGTTGTAAAAAACACATTGAAAGTAGTTGTAAAAAAAAATGTTAAAATACAAGTTAACTTTTTTAGTAACTATGTTGTTAATACAAAATAATTGAGTCTTTTCTCTCAATAATATATTTTTTTTACACAAAACCTGAATTCTAAATTTAGAGAATTGAGTCATACACCACTCAGATATAATTTTATTTGAATTTATTTCACTAAATGAATTAGTACTTAAAACAATAGTGAATTATTATTTTTTAATTTTTTGATTTTAAATAATATTTTCTCAAAATTAGGACATGTTTTCTTGCTTTTAAAAATAAAGATTTACTCCTTTTATTTTCTATTATAAGTAAAAAAAATACTATATTTGATAATATAAATTATATTTAAAATTAGTATACATAAATATTTTTAAATATATAAATTATATTTTAATTTATGATAAATCATTTTATTATAACACTATTTATTGATAATTTAATTTAAAATATTAATATTTAATTAATAAATAATTATATTTTAATTTTATTTATCATATTTATTTATAAGTTAAATTTTATTTTTTAAACAAAGTCAAAATAATTAAAAATAATATTGTGCTACAATATAAATTATTTATCTCAAATCTAAAATATACTTTATACATTTAAAAATATCTATTTATATAAATTTTAAATATAAATTATATATTCAAATATAATATTTATTTATATGTATAATTTATTATAAAATTTAAATATAATAAACATTTACTCTTTGCGATATGTAAACTAAAATATTAGTTATTTTATGAAATGATTTTAAAAATAAAAAAACAACTTAATCAAACATAATGTTTCTCAGGGAGAGGTGGCTTTGAAAACGTCTACCCCACAGATTCTTTCTTTTCAAATTTGCCATATATAGAAAGCGCCTGGGGGGAGGCTCTTTCTGAAAATAGAAGGCGCCTGGGGAAAGGCGTTTTCAGTTCAAATCTGACACGTCAACAAAACGCCTAGGGGGGAGGTGTTTTCAGTTCAAATCTGCTCGTGCCACATCAGCAATAGAAGGCGCCTGGGGGGGAGGCTTTTTCTAAAAAACGCCCACCCCCAGGCGTTTTCAGTGCCACGTATATGCTGACTTGTCCAAAACTACCTATTTCAGTAATTAGTTTTTTTTATAATTTATTTCATGTATTTTTTTTTTTTTTTTTAATTTACTGAGGTCAAAAAGCCTAAAGAATTGTATGAAAGTTGGCACGATGCACACGGCGGGTCCACGTCCACGTACGTTATAGTAGTTTTTCCTTAAGCAAAAGTCAACCATAGTAACTCAGCGAGTGCATCTGGAAGCCCAAAACGAAAGAACAGAAGATTGTTTTTCCGTTGGTAGCATAATCATTATTCACGTTAGCGGATTCTGCAATGTCTTCGAATATTCCGAAGAAGTACGATGTGTTTCTGAGTTTCAGAGGAGCAGACACGAGAACAAACTTCACCAGCCATCTTTACACTGCTCTCACTCACAAATCAATCAAAACGTTCATAGATCACCAGCTCAACAGAGGAGAATACGTTTGGCCAACACTTGCCAAAGCAATCAGGGACTCCCACGTCTCAATCGTTGTCTTCTCCGAAAACTACGCGTCCTCCACGTGGTGCTTGAAGGAGCTGGTGAAAATACTCGAATGCAGAAGAGAGCAGGGTCAGGTTGTTATACCTGTGTTCTACAAGGTGGATCCCACCCACATAAGGAATCAGAGTGGAAGTTACGAGAAGGCATTTGCAAAGCATGAGCGAGAACTTGGTGGCAGTCGCATAGAACTAGATGTTTTCAAGTGGAAAGCTGCTCTCAAAGAAGCAGCCAATATATCAGGATGGGACTTCCAAACTCACAGGTAACATCATATTTTCATATACTAAACATGTTTATTTCGGTGAAATTAGCTAACATTTTTTTACGTTTGTTTCATTTTTATGTTAGGGACGAATCTCACGTCATCGAGAATGTTGTCAATGATGTATTGCAAAAGCTGCAGCTGAGATACCCTACTGAACTAAAAGGCCTTGTGGGAACTGAAAAAATTTGTCAGAAGGTAGAATTATTACTGAAAAAATTTAGTGTCATTGGAATTTGGGGTATGGGGGGAATTGGTAAGTCAACTATTGCTAAAGTCTTGTTTGAAAAAATATTTCACAAATATGATAATGTCTGCTTTGTGGCCAATTCAAAGGAATATTCCCTCGACAAGCTTTTCTTTGCACTATTGAAGGAGGAAGTTCCCCCCTCAAATGTGGTAGGATCCGCATTTGATATGAGAAGGCTCAGTAGTAAAAAGGTTTTCATTGTACTTGATGATATGGATAGTTTAGATTCGTTTGAGTTTTTATGTAGAGAGTATGGTGACTTACATAGCGATAGTAAACTCATTATAACAACAAGAGATAGGCAATTGCTTCATGAAAGAGTTGAGTGGATATACAAAGTTAAGAAATGGAAAAATCCAGAATCTCTGAAGCTTTTTTGCTTAGAAGCCTTCAAGAAAAGGCATCCCCCAAAACGTTATCAGAGTCTCTCAGAAAGTGCAGTTGAATATGCTGGTGGCGTTCCATTAGCTCTTAAAGTTTTGGGTTCATATCTTCATTCCAAAGGCATTGATTTTTGGAAAAGTACTTTAAGAAAACTCAACGAGTATCCTAATGAGAAGATTCAGAATGTGCTAAAAGTGAGCTATAATGGATTGGATGATCTAGAAAGGAATATATTTCTAGACATTGCATTTTTTTTCAAAGGAAAAAAGAAAGATCATGTCACGAGGATATTAGATGCCTGTCGATTTGAGGCAACCAGTGGAATAGAAGTTCTCGAAGACAAAGCTTTGATAACTATTTCAAATAGCAAAATAATTCAAATGCATGACTTGCTGCATAAAATGGGTTTGGAGATAGTACGTCAAGAATGTAAAGGAGATCCTAGAAAACGTAGTCGATTGAAGGATAATGAAGCTCGTGAAGTGATCGAAAAAAACAAGGTAAGGAAAAAGTACCTTGACTTTTTACAAGACATGTTTTTATATATAGATTGTAGCAAACTTGATACCATTTACTTTTTTGTGTTTTGTCAGGGAACTGATGCAATTCAAGGCATAACATTAGATTTGTCTCAAATTAAAGACTTAGTTTTGCATGCTGACACATTCACAAAGATGAAAAGCTTAAGATTTCTGAAATTCTATAGCACCTTGGGCCAGAGTTCTAGTAATACTTACCTCAACCTTCCTGAAACTCTTGAGCCATTTTCTGATAAACTGAGGTACATTGAGTGGATTGGATACCCTTATGAGTCTCTTCCATCACCTTTCTGTGCTAAGTTGCTTGTTGAGATTCACATGCCACGCAGCAATGTTAAACAACTTTGGCAGGGGATCCAGGTAAACAAAAGATGTGTACGTAATCGTGTTTACACTTTTTATTTTTTGAGGATTTTCCATTATGATGTTTCCTTTTGAATTGATAACAGGAACTTGACAATTTAGAGGGAATTGACCTAAGTGAATGCAAACAATTTGAAGAGTTTCCAGATTTGTCAACAGCGCCAAGACTTAAATGGGTGAATCTCTCCTATTGTGAAAGTTTGTTGTATCTTCATCCATCTATTTTATCCTCGGACACACTTGTTACTTTGATACTGGATAGGTGTACAAACCTTAAGAGAGTTAAAGGTGAGAAGCATTTAAAATGTCTAGAGAAGATCAGTGTCAATGGCTGCTTAAGTCTGGAGGAATTTGCAGTGTCATCAGATTTAATTGAAAACTTGGATTTGAGCAATACAGGAATCCAAGCATTGGACACATCAATAGGGCGTATGCATAACCTTAAGTGGCTCAATCTAGAGGGTTTAAGACTCGGGCATCTTTTGATGGAGTTGTCTTGCTTGACATCTCTCAAGGAGTTGAAGCTTGCTGATAGTGGACTAGTGATTGACAAGCAACAACTACTTGTCCTATTTGATGGGTTAAGGTCCCTAAAAATACTATATTTGAAGGATTGTAGTTACTTGTTTGAGCTACCTGACAACATCAGTGTGTTATCACAATTACAAGAACTAAGGCTAGATGGAAGCAATGTGAAAAGGTTGCCTAAAAGCATTAAGAATCTTCAAGAGTTGGAAATTCTGTCCTTGGAGAATTGCAAGGAGCTTCAGAACCTACCAATGCTTCCATCCCTCATCCAATACTTAGGTGCCATTAACTGCACATCATTGGTGAAAGTGTCAAACTTAAACACTTTGGCAACAAAGATGTTGGGAATGACCAAACGCATTACATTCAAGAACAGCTTGGAATTGGATGGACAATCACTCGAACATATTATGGAAAGCCTCCATTTAACAATGATGAGTGCTGCATTTGACAATGTTTTAGTAAGAATCCGTGGGGCGGTCAATGGTTACAATTACAATAGTGTTGAGCTTTGTTTACAAGGAAGCAAGGTCCCATGGCAGATCACTCATAAAACTACTAAGTCCTTCATTAGCATTGAACTTCCCAATCGCTCCAACTTGCTGGGATTAATTTACTCAGTGGTTCTTTCTCCAGCTGGTGGAATGAAGAAGCATGGCACTAAGATAAAATGTAAATGCCACTTTGCAGAAGAAGGTATGAAGGAAGCATGGCTATCTAGTGATATTGGGGGATTGAACTCGGATCATGTTTATGTGTGGTATGATCCATTCCACTGTGACAGTATTCTCAAATATTATGAACCAAAGGTTTGTTTTGAGTTCTGTGTTGCAAATGATGAGGGGGAAGTTGATGGCTCCATTTGTATTAAAGAGTGTGGAATACGCCTTATAAGTGTTTCGGATGTGCAGAGTGTTTTAGAAGAGTTGAACTTGGATTCAAATAAGAAAAAGGACTTTGAGAAGGGAGTGAAGCTGGAAACAGGACAAAAGATAACTTTCAGAACAATTGAACAATATGATGTGGAGGAAAGTAATGGCATAAGAAACCAGATAGGGAATATACGAGAGGAATTGAGTGAAGAAAGCTCCTCTGATAATATAATAGGTATGCAACTCATTACTCTCCATTCATCTCTTATATATAATCTTCAATTATAACAACCTTCAATAACTACTCATAACTATCCACTTTAAATTGTGATGATCATATAAATTTGTTTTGATAAGTTAAACTTAAAATTGTACTAACATACCTTTGGTTTCTTTTGACTAAAATCTCTTAACAATCTCCAAAGGAATAAAGATCTTTGAGAGGAAAGAAAATTGGGAAAGTGATGACGAGGAACCTCTTGAGATCTCGAGAAAAAGAAAAGGTAGGGCTAAACCCAAGGGATTGGTCACCAGAAAAAAGGTAAGGCCTTTCTTTAAATTGTTCTTTATATATAAATATATTACCTGTGTCTAATTTCTTACTAATCCAATTCTTGAAGACCTTTCAAAGCTATTCAAAATTAAAGAAGCTCAAAAAACAGAAAGGATCTTTGGAGGTACTTTTGTTTTAGTCTGTCTGATTTCATTCTTTAAGGAACAATTAGCTTACTCTCGTTTCAATTCTTCTTTCAGTCTTCAAACGATTCAGCTGTTCGACCAGAAACATGTTTTGAAAAAGAACCTACCACTGCAGAAGATGGTGGTAGCAAACCAGCACAATTTGAAGCAAAATTTGCTTCCAGTACGGATGATAATGAATCTCGAAAGCAGGTAGTAATTGACATACTTTTCTGTCTAATATTTTTTTTTTCAAGTCTCTATAGTTAAAAACTGATATTGATTCGTATACAGCCCAAAAAATCTCATAAAAGAATGAAAGTGAAATTTAAGATTCCAAACCTTTCACCATCAGCTTTTGGGGTATGCTTTCTTCGTTAGATTTATGAAATTTTTCTTTATTTAAATTTTGAATAAATTTTAGATAGATTATTTATTATTATTATAATTTTATATTTTATATTTTATTTTTAGTTATTTAATAGAATTTCAATAAGTAAAATTATTAATAGATGTGTTTTGTTAGAAGTTTTAAATTGGTTATAAATCTATACATAGATATCTTTTTCGAATTTTTAATGACAATTTTAATAATAATTTTTTATTATTAAAAAATTGTCATCTTTTAATAATTATAAATCTATACATAGATAATTTTTTATCTTTACTTTTAATTTCAATTTGTCAAGATCCGATTTTTCTTTATTTTTCACAAAATATTTCCAACATCTTCGAGTATAATCTCTCGAGTTTGTCAAGAAACTTATTCATTCTAACTTGATCTCATGTATATCAGAAAGTGGATATGGAATCTGTTTCTGAACCAGCTCAGGGGAAAAGTCAATCCCTAGAGGAAGAGGTAACCCTAAAGTGAACACATATTTTCAAATTTTCCGGACTTTTTAGATCAATTTAATACTAACTTTTTTTTTTTTTTCACTCTTGAAACAGCCTGCTTTGAATCAAGAGGCTATAGAATCATCTTTTACAAATTCATATGAAGAAGAAGAAATAGCTCCCAGTGTTGAACCAAACAAAGAGGCATTAGGGGTTTTACCATCTCAAGATCAACCAGACGTTGGAACCAGTAAGGTGATTTCAGAACACACCCCTATGGAGATTGATGATTATCTAAACAAACTTGATGATGATCCCTTTGCACTCCTCGATTTCCTATCAAGTAATGTTTCAATTTCATCCAAGCTATCGCAAACTACAATTCAACAGTCTGACTCAACTGAAAACATTTCTACCATTCTTCAAGAACTTCGATCTTTGGCCTTCTCTCAATCTTTGTTGTGCAACATTCAACGAGTTGAATACAGAGAACAAGTTGAGGAAACTTTGAAGAAACTTGATAATTATGTTCAAGATCTATCTGAGAGCCAAAACAAGGGGCTAGATGAATTCATTGCCCTCTACAAAAAAGTAGTGACAATTTGCATGGACAAATCCTTGAATGAAGAAAAGGTCAAAAAGATTGAAATTGAGAAAAAGCAAGCTTTTGACAAAATTCTAGATTCCAAATCTAAAGTTCAAAAGCTAGATGATGTTGTTTCAATGAATAAGGTTAAAATTGAGACTGTGGAAAAACGCCAAAAAGAGATACAAGATGCCATCAAGAAATTAGAAGAAGAAAACGAGGGCTTAAATAAAGAGAAGACTAAACTTGAAACTGCCAACTCGAAGCATTTGACCAATAAAGAAGAAATTATTGAATCTGTCAAGTATATTTCAACTTCATTGGGCAAGGTAGTGAAAAATCTTGCTGAACTTGACAAGGAGAGATTAAGGTTAAATGCAGATTTTGAGAATCTGAAGGAGCCTTACAAAAAGATGAAGAGAAGCCCTCCATTTTAATTTTGATCCCTTTTCCATTTCTATTGTAATTATTTCATTTTGACGGGCTCAAAATAATTATTGAGATTCTATGTATGATTTTGATTTCAGTAATTACTGGTTTATATTTCTAAGAGTTTACCAGTTATCGACGTTATTTCACTGTTTGGATGATATATACGTGCATATATTTTACTTTATTTCTGACCATTAGGACGAATTAAAAATCTATAAATAGGGAACTAGTGTAGCCATTTTTCCTTGGTTGAATCATTAACACAACTATTTCAGTCGAATATAACACTAAACCTTCATATAAGTCACGTGAAGATATGAGAGGATTCACTACAACAGTTCTATGATCTGTTGGCTTTACAAAGAGTCGTCGGGCAGAAATTATTTGAGTACACTGTTAAAAATGTGGCTCACAACACGAGAGTGCCAATTGTAATAGACAGTGACATGCTGATGATTCTGTCTAATTGTGAGATTTCTTTTACTTTTATGCATAGAAGGGATGTGACTTGGATTTTGTACTGTGGGTGGAAAAAGTTTGATGAATAAAAATTTCAAATGCAATCTAGACATGTGACATAGGAAACTTTGAACTCTTGCCCTCCCACAACAGTCATGGGAACATTTTAACAAAAATTCAATCATTCTTTTTATAAAGAAATTTAGGACTTTGTCTGAATCATAAGGCTACTACCGCTCCCTTTATTTGTAGTATGCAAGCCTGCCTTTGTAGCTAATTGTATCTATTTATGTTTAGTTGAGACAAACGAAAAAAGAATGTTCAATAAAGAAATGACTCGGATGGTTAACCACATGTGCAGAAGTACTGACCATTCACATAATACTCCAACTAGCCTAATTCTTAAATGGGTATGATTCTTAATCATTCAAACACAATATAGGTAGAACCAATAGAAGTAGTTCACGATCTATGAAATTTGTATAATCTAATACCGTTGTAATGTTGTAAAACGGTGGCAAGGACTGTTTTGTAAACACTTTTTCATGTAGGACCCAAATGTAGTGTTTTTTTTTTAAATATTTTTTTATGCAGGAACTAAAATGAAAAGCAATGTCAGGTATAGGGACTAAATTTTTAATGTAACCTTGATTTTGTTAATGATTTAAGGCTCAACCTACTTGTAGGTTATGGTTGCTACTGTACGTTGTGAAGAAATTGCCAATGAGAAATATGCCTCTTTTGTTGCAAATGAGGTATTGACATTTATTATGGTGCAATCCTCTTACATATTTTGACATTCCGAATTACTAATGCTGGGAAAATTGCTTTCAATTACCACTCAGGATTGGTGTCAATTGGAAGAGGCTGTGCAATCTGGCCCTATTCCTGGATTTGGGAAAAAGCTCAATTCACTCCTTGATACTTATTTATCGGAGTGAGTATAGTTCAATTTATGTAGCATCTGTATTTGCAGTGGCTCAGTTATTGAATACCACATTACTTTATAGTATGTTATTAGCTTTTTGAATAACTATGTTAGCTTTTTGCAATATTTAATTTCAGTTCTGTTGAGTAGAGCAGAGCAACAGGATTTCCTCACCCCCATGCTCCGTTTTAATATTTTTTCATATTTTGATGTCAAAGTTTGACTGAATTAGGTGTCATGAGTGAAGTTGTAGCTTTAGAGAAACCGAAAATATTTTATTTCTCGTTGTCATGATACAAAGTCAAATGAGTAATTCTGCTGTAAATAGGGAAATAAACAAACAAATCAGGAGAGAAATGAGGAAATAAACCATAAAGATACAGAATTTTCTAAACATATCTGAATTGATGTGATTCAGATATATTCTTCCTATAGCTCCTATGAACCTGAACAGATTCCTCTACCAGATTCAACAGAAGTTAATGGTTTTGATTGTTCAAGGTGGTAGAAAAAGGATGGGCATTCATTATTGAATGGAATTTTTATAGGAATGCACGCTGATGGGTACGTCTTCATCGTCGATCTGATTCATGCTTTTTTTTTTCTTCTTTCTCATTCTGATCAAACCTTTATTCTCCACTTTTTGATTTCTGTTTGCTTTCCCAATTCTAACTCGCATCAAAGTTTCAATCTTTTATAGATGACGGTTGTTGGGTGTTAACGGCACTTGCATGCGTTTTTTTGTTTTGGGCTTTTTTTTTATTTTTATTTTTTTTTTTACAACTGTTGTGTAACTTTATTGTTGTTTTAATTTTATTTTTTCAGTTTCTGTGATGTGATTGATTTTGACAATTTGATCCATAATTTTGTTTTGTGTGGTTAATTGGTTGGATCCGGGGCAAGGTTTAGCTTGTTGCCATGTCTTTAATTGTTAAAGGGGAGAAGAGAAGTTGAGAAGAGAGTAAGGTTGGTTAATTTAATTTAATGTAATGGAGATTAGTATCCCTAGTTTTGTCTTTTAATGCTAGTGGAAGTATTGGGCTTGAATTGATGGAGTGTGGAACCAGCAAACAAGTGTAAAGATTTATTTATTTATTTTTGGGTACTGAGAATGAAAAGCAATGTTCTTACCACGGATGCATGATCAAGCTGAATTTCCTTTTCCTGATTAAATGTGTTTCTAGCTGTTTATATGTTACAGTGCAATGCTGCAATGCAATCGCACCTAGGATTCTGGTTTTGCTTGTGGATCTCAATTAGTGCTATGCTTGAAATTTGTTTCAAGTATTTTGCAGCATTTTTTCCTCCCTACTAACGTGGAGTTTCTTCTTATCCAGCAAATAGTGATAGTTGTTGTTCAACTCAGCTTATCGATGGGGATGGTACATTCAATGTTTCTGGGATTGAAAAATTCATGAAGGAGGTGAAATTGGCTGAATGCGGGCTTTCATACGCTGTAGTTTCTATAATGGGTCCTCAAAGTAGTGGTATGCTATCTTGGCTCCTTAACCTTATTTTCTTCCCTTGCCTTCTCAGCTAATTGAATTTTTTGATTGCTTTCAACTGTCTTTGCATCTGAGGATCTTTAGATAATTTAAGACATTTTACTTGACACTGAATGGTGGAGGTGATTGGTATTTGAGATTCATGGAAAGGTTAAAAGAAGTTTCTGGCTTATGAAGTAATGAATAATTGCTTCCTTGTAGTTGAATTTGATAAATTTATGATATTTTATTACATGAGTAGCAGTGAGGTTAGAACCTAATGCAAATTAGCCAAACTGCTCTCACCACTAGCCCGATCATAGTGGTTAGATTTATGGCTATCGATATAAAATGGGGATTTCTGACTATTAGGTTTAATCTCTCGTCCCTTTTAATTCTTATGAGAATTTTATTTTATTTTTTAAATTTATTTCTCCTGTTTGATTTTATCTTTTATATTTGTTTTAACTTGGTATAACAAGATGTGTACTATTCTCAATAAAAGGATCTATCTCTTATCTAGTTTTTTATTTTCTTTGTTCTGGGCAGGCAAGAGCACGCTATTAAATAATTTGTTTGGCACCAACTTCAGAGAGATGGATGCTTTTAAGGGAAGGTATGTTATGGCAATTCTAACATGTCACACAAAACTTGCTCAACCAACAGGGTGGTGAGCTGATATGTATGCTTGTTTTCAGGTCTCAAACAACCAAAGGAATCTGGATGGCTAGATGTAATGGCATAGAGCCTTGTACACTTGTGATGGATTTAGAGGGTACAGATGGAAGAGAACGTGGCGAGGTTTTTTTAATTTATTTTTTATTTTTTGGTCATAGATTAACTTTGATAATAACAGAGGTCACAATTCAGTGTGTTGCCAATATCCAATTGCCATTTGCATTTGTTTTTTAATTGGGAATGCAAATAAACCAGTTTGTTTCTGGCCCCTGTGGAGCATATGATGTTTATTATAAAAATTGTGGAGCTCATAAACTCCTGTTGTTCAAGATTTACTTGTAACTTACATTCTTTTCCCCCTTTTTTTACACTTGCAAAATAGCATTTTTTAATTTTCTTTTTATGGAAAATGATAAATTAGAGGTTCAATTATCTCAACAGTTTCTCTCCCTCTCTATCTCTCTGAATTTTATTTGTGTTATCAAATTGGGACCAGAAGAAAGAGTTCCATAACAATTTTAATCTGTGTTAGCACTGTGATGGTTTAGGAATAGTTACTAATAGTTAGAACTCTATTTAGTGGTGCTATTCTCTTCCATTTACAAAATGTAGAATAAGCTATGAGAAATGGATAGTTCCCCATTTCGTTCTCCCAGTATACTGAAATTGTCTTTTTCTCAGGATGACACTGCTTTTGAAAAGCAGAGTGCTCTATTTGCTCTTGCTGTCTCGGATATAGTGCTAATAAACATGTGAGTTTTTCCCCCTCTTCAGTTCTCATCCTTGATACATATTTAATAGTGACTAATTTTAGAAAGTTTCAAGTCTGTAGCTTCTTGTACTTCTTGTTTTAATGTTTTTTCAGTTGAATCTTTTTTCTTTGTGAAACTAATTCGCCCCTCTGCAATGCTTGTAAAGGTGGTGCCATGACATTGGCCGTGAGCAAGCTGCAAATAAGCCACTTTTGAAAACTGTCTTTCAGGTATGTGTTGTTGGCCTATTGGCAACAAGTAATTATCTTGAAACTTAAAACTTGTCAATTTTCATTTATCTAATTTCTTGGTTGATTTTGCTTTCAGGTCATGATGAGATTGTTTAGTCCACGAAAAACAACATTGTTGTTTGTCATACGTGATAAAACAAGGGTGTGTAATAGCTGTTTATTCATTTTTTGTAATTATTTGTTTGTTATATATTTTTAATTTTAATATTTTTTGATTTGTTAATGTGATCAACCTTTTTTCCCTTTTATAGACACCACTTGAAAATTTAGAACCTGTTTTGCGAGAAGATATTCAGAAGGTAATGCAGGGCTTTCATCTCCATATAATGTTATTGAATTGTTATGGGCTTTTTACTTACCTTTCTTGCTTTTACTTTTTTCCTCTGCAGATATGGGACTCTGTTCCTAAACCTCAGGCCCACAAGGAAACCCCACTAAGTGAATTTTTCAACGTAAGTTCTTCATTTGTTTGGTATCGCTAATCTTACTGATGTTCTGTATAGCAGGATTTTATTTGAAATTTATAGTAATTGTTTGCACTTGACATCAAATGAACAGGTTGAAGTTGTTGCTCTTTCTAGTTTTGAAGAAAAGGAAGAGCAATTTAGAGAGCAGGTATGAATGTGCACCAGTTCTTTGGGTTTACTTGCTAATGGTATTAAAGGACACATTATAAGATTTTTGTTGTTGTTTGTATCTCCATATCTGCATCAGTGACTATGTGCCCTTGTGTCTCAATCCATGTGCATAAATTATTGTACTAATTTGGCTTTCTTAGCGGGAATTAGACTTTTTTTATTTCCCTTTTCTGGTTTACTGTCTGTCTAATTTTCCTATATATTCTGTTCTGGTTTATTTTGAATGTAGGTTGCTAGCTTGCGACAACGATTCCATCATTCTATTGCTCCTGGTGGGCTTGCAGGGGATCGGCGTGGAGTAGTTCCTGCTTCTGGCTTTTCTTTTAGCTCTGAGCAAATATGGAAAGTCATTAAGGAGAACAAAGATCTCGACCTTCCTGCACATAAGGTAATATACATGCTATGATGATGGCACTTCTATTTTAATGTGATATACATGCTATGATGATGCCACTTTTACAAAATAGTCCCATTGTTTATTGTCATTATAACAGTGTCAGTATTATTTTTGTAGGGACTAAATTGGAAAAATGTGTGTTAGGTGTAGGGACCAATTTGTAGATATTTTTTCTTGGAGGGGACCAAACAAAATGTAAATTTGTTTCATATAGGGACTTCAATGAAAAATACTGTCAAGTATAGGAACTGAATCTAATACCGTTGTAATGTTGTAAAACGGTGGCAAGGACTGTTTTGTAAACACTTTTTCATGTAGGACCCAAATGTAGTGTTTTTTTTTTAAATATTTTTTTATGCAGGAACTAAAATGAAAAGCAATGTCAGGTATAGGGACTAAATTTTTAATGTAACCTTGATTTTGTTAATGATTTAAGGCTCAACCTACTTGTAGGTTATGGTTGCTACTGTACGTTGTGAAGAAATTGCCAATGAGAAATATGCCTCTTTTGTTGCAAATGAGGTATTGACATTTATTATGGTGCAATCCTCTTACATATTTTGACATTCCGAATTACTAATGCTGGGAAAATTGCTTTCAATTACCACTCAGGATTGGTGTCAATTGGAAGAGGCTGTGCAATCTGGCCCTATTCCTGGATTTGGGAAAAAGCTCAATTCACTCCTTGATACTTATTTATCGGAGTGAGTATAGTTCAATTTATGTAGCATCTGTATTTGCAGTGGCTCAGTTATTGAATACCACATTACTTTATATTCATGTAGGACCCAAATGTAGTGTTTTTTTTTTAAATATTTTTTTATGCAGGAACTAAAATGAAAAGCAATGTCAGGTATAGGGACTAAATTTTTAATGTAACCTTGATTTTGTTAATGAAAGCCAATGGACAAAACCAGATATGAGAATGTCATTAAAGTTTGTGCTTTAGATATGGATATTAACGATTTTAGCCATGGTGATCTAACCGAAATAGGTCAGCGAGGGATTAACATGAGTGGAGGACAGAGGCAAAGGATTCAACTAGCTCGAGCAGTTTACAATGATGCAGACATCTATCTCCTTGATGACCCATTCAGTGCAGTTGATGCACACACTGCTACTATTCTGTTCAATGTAAGAAAGTATGACTTTTATCTTGTTAATTAATAAAACTAGTGTCTTCAACTCCTCAATTTGGTGAATCAAACTAACTGCATTTACAAAATTACAGAACTGTGTCATGACTGCTCTAAGAGAGAAAACTGTCATTCTAGTGACTCATCAAGTGGAGTTTCTCTCAGAGGTTGATCAAATCCTGGTAAAGTATCTCATTTGAATTCCTATTATATTACTTTAGAATATAATAATGCTATAATTCAGATTCTAGGTGATGGAGGGTGGAAAAGTTACTCAATCGGGTAGTTATGAAGATCTCCTGATAGCTGGGACTGCCTTTGAGCAACTTGTGAGAGCCCATAAAGCTGTATTAACTGGATTGGATCAAAAAAATGAAGATAATAGAGACTCTTATATGGAAGTTATGGTACATCCAAAAGAATCTAATAATCAAAGTGAGGGGGTGATTTCTACCAAGGGTCAACTTGGGGTTCAGCTTACACAAGAAGAAGAAAAAGAGATTGGCAGTGTTGGGTGGAAGCCTTTCTGGGATTATATTTCATTTTCAGGGGGATCATTCTTGTTGTGTTTAGTCATGTTAACGGAATTTGCTTTTATGGCTTTGCAGACTGCATCAACCTACTGGCTAGCTCTAGCCAGTGAAATTCCAAAAGTAACTAGTGGCTTTTTGATTGGAGTTTACTCATTATTTTCATTAGTTAGTATGGTATTTGTATATATAAGGTCTGTCTTGGCTGCTAATCTCGGACTAAAAGCTTCTAAAGCCTTCTTCTCAAGTTTCACTTCGGCTATCTTCAATGCTCCTATGTTGTTCTTTGACTCAACCCCTGTAGGAAGGATTTTAACCCGAGTAAGGTTTCTTCCTTCGAAACCGTATTAATTTATAACATTTTTTCTTTCTGTTAATTCACTTATATCTAACTAACTCCCTAATTTTATGTCATTCTTTTTTTCTCTATCAGGCTTCATCAGACTTAAGTATTTTGGACATTGATATTGCCTATACTCTCCCTTTAGTAGCATTTGTTGCACTTGAAGTTCTGGTGACAATATTTGCGATGGTTTCAGTCACATGGCAAGTTCTTATTGTTGCTGTTCCTGCTATGGTGGCTACAATATATATTCAGGTTTCTTCACTTTCTAAAGTTTTATTTGTTACAATTTTATTGACTTATTAGAATCTTTGTATAGAAAAACCATAGTTCTAGTTCTAGATACATGCAACCTTGAACAATTCACACATAAAGGATCTATATCAAGCTAAATTATCAAGGATTCAAGATTAAATACCTGAATCAATGGTTTTGTAGTCTTCCTCAATCAAATCTTTATTCCTCAATGGGACTCTTGCTGCACCTCTTGATGGAGACAAGGGAAACTGTGTACGATTTGATATTGATATATTGGAGACCATAACCAATTAGCTCATTATATAATGATCTAGTACGGTTCCATAAATCCTTAATGCGCCCATTCGTTAAGCAATATCAATCTTGAAAGTTTACATGCTCACTAAAATTACACCATTTTAAATTTAGCCTACCAAATAAATAGTCAATATAATTGTTATTAAATATGATGCTCACAATAGATGTAGGAAATATAAATATTTTGACATTAATAACTTTCCATTTTCTGTTCCTAATTAGATCATGGATCTAGCAACTTCCAAGCCTTTGTATTTTTATTTTTATTTTTTAACTTTAAAAGGGATATTATCAAGCCTCTGCAAGGGAATTGATGAGGATCAATGGAACCACAAAAGCTCCAGTCATGAATTTTTCCGCTGAGACATCACTTGGGGTGGTCACTATAAGAGCATTAAACATGGTCAACAGATTTTTCAACAACTACCTAAAGCTTGTGGACATGGATGCAGCACTATTCTTTCATTCTAATGCGGCCCTGGAATGGTCAATTTTAAGGATAGAGGTACTTCAAAATTTGACAGTCTTCACTGCAGCTTTATTACTTGTTCTACTTCCCAAGGGATATGTACCTTCAGGTAATAATTCATAATAAATTGTCCATGATTAGGTGTTTTTCATTCATGCTGTTAACATGCCAAGAATCTTGACAATTCTCCTGTTATATGCAGGTCTTGTGGGATTGTCTCTTTCTTATGCATTCACATTAAAAGATATCCAAGTATTTTGGAGTCGAATGTTTAGCATTTTATCAAACCATATCATCTCTGTTGAAAGAATCAAGCAATTTATTCACATACCAGCAGAGCCTCCTGCCATTTTGGAGGACAACAGACCTCCATCTTCATGGCCTTCCAAGGGTAGGATTGATCTTCAAGCCCTAGAGGTAAGGAGACTAATCAATAACCTATTTTTATGGATAATGTTGCAGCCTTGTCCTTTTCCTTTTGCACCTATACTTTCAATTTTATCTTCATTTCATTTCTGACAATTGGACAGGCAAATTCAAGTTTTGTTGCTATTTTTTCTACATTTATTTCAGATTAGATATCGTCCAAATTCTCCATTAGTTCTTAAGGGTATAAATTGTACATTTAAAGAAGGGAATAGAGTGGGAGTTGTAGGAAGGACTGGAAGTGGAAAAACTACACTTATAAGTGCTTTGTTTCGTTTAGTTGAACCTTCAAGAGGGGATATTCTTATAGATGGGATTAATATATGCTCAATGGGGTTAAAAGATTTGAGAATGAAACTCAGCATCATCCCTCAAGAACCAACTCTTTTCAAGGGCAGCATTAGGACAAACTTGGACCCTCTAGGCTTTTATGACGATGATGAAATATGGAAGGTGAATGAACTAGCGCCACAACTGAAAATTTTGTAACTACTAAATCTCGTTATCTCTTTCACGACCCATCCAATAAGCACAGTCTGATAAGTTTTGATTTGTATATTTAGGCTATAGAGAAATGTCAGCTGAAGGAAACAATCAGCAAGCTACCAGGTCTCTTGGATTCTTCAGGTGAGTTAACAAACTTAAAGCCCACAATCTGATATAGTCTTGTAAAAGTCACTACTCTACTCTTTCTTCATTAAGTCAAATTTCAAAGTAATTGGAGCTTAGCATTGCTCTTATATAGTTTCTGCATTTTCACACCAAGATTTTGCAACCAATAAGCCATCAAAGTTTAACAAGTTTTACAGTGAGTGACGAAGGTGGAAATTGGAGCTTGGGACAGCGCCAACTGTTTTGTCTAGGAAGAGTACTACTTAAGAGGAACAGAATACTTGTTCTAGATGAAGCTACTGCATCTATCGACTCTGCAACAGATGCCATTCTGCAAAAAGTGATTAGACAAGAATTTGCAGAATGCACAGTTATAACTGTGGCTCACAGAGTTCCAACTGTAATAGACAGTGATATGGTCATGGTCCTGTCTTATGGTACATAAGTTAATTATTTTTTCTTTTCAAATTTTCAGATATACTACAGCTTTTCTCTAGTTCTTCTGCTTCCTCATTTTATTTTGCTGGTTACTGTAGGGAACCTAGTGGAATATGATGAGCCTTCCAAACTTATGGGAACCAATTCTTGGTTCTCTAAGTTGGTCGCTGAATATTGGTCGAGCTGCAGGAAGAACTCCTCCCCAAATATTAGCTAGCAGCAACATTGAACATTAACACTTGGGTAAAGTTAGTACAAATAAATCCTAAGAAAATTGAATAAATTGAAATTTTAGATGTGTGTGGAATGTGAATCCTCTTATCCAAGGGAAGATATAATCTAAAGAAATGTTAAGTTAGGCATCATATTAAATGTATGAACACTCAATCGCAACTTGCAAGTGTACTCTGAGACAAATGTAATGTTATTCCCTCAACTGTATCAGTCCCTTGGCAAGATAAGAAGCTTGAATACTGGGAAATTAGCCATAATTTCAATATGAAAAAGATGGAAGTAAATTATAGGCATGATGTGAATCTAAAAACATGTCTTGAAATATATATATATATATATATATATAT